TTTTTATAACATAAAAAATAAATTTAAGAAATAATTAAATAATACAAGGGGTATTATGAAACATTTCCATTCCGACCACTCCAGTCTCCGGGACAGTGTAGAAGTTTATAAAATCCTGATCCATCGGCTCGTTTAAAAAAATCACCCTAGCCTCCAGCGAATTCCCCTAAAGGAAATAATGAGGTCCAAAGTCCTGAGAGTCCTTATCGATATATATTTTTGGAAGGTATGACTTACAAAAATAATAATTAAATTTGTGTGTACCAAAAACAATAAATAAATAGCTACCAAGGACCTTGTATTGGTTTAACATAAGTTTCGATCATTTTTTCGCAAAAAGACTTCAAATCATTAAAACTGGCGCCCAACATATATTCCAAAATTTTTGAAAAATCTGATTTCAATGAATATTTTGTATATTTTGAAAATTCAATTCAAAGATGATGGAAGATGACTGACCTCCAATGCCAGAATTGGCGCCCATCGTGTCATAGATCTTACTAAGCTATACTTGGCGCCCAACGTTTCCATATGCAAGAATATGTAAATTTTCAAGGAAGTCTGTTTTGTCGTGGCGCCCAAAGCCCGTTATATAGACGATCTTATAATCAGGAAGTCTTTATAACATATAAATACCTATCCTGATCCCAGCATGAATGATCAGTTTTGGTGGTTGTTGTAGCAGCCCTATTGCTTTTACACAATGGGCTGAGGTGACAGACGTTGGCCGAGTAAGACTCGGTTCGTTTCGGATCGTGATTTTTGTAACTGGCGCCCAACATATATATTCATATGTCCATTCGAGAATTATCGTGCGCACCAGCCAGACGGACAGACATTTGTAAATCGACTGTATATTGTCTGAAACGGAGAGAATATACTGAACCTTATTAGCCATAAGGCTGAGGTTATAAATATAAAATGGATAATAGAGATAATTCAATTGAGAGCCGTGTCCGAAAACCTCAATAAACCGATCAACGTTGTGTATTTTTATATCGGGGCTACCTTAATATTATTAATTTTTGGTTCCAAGGCATTTGGTATTGATTTTTTGTAGGAGTTAAGTACACAAAATACTAGCGATTCCGTTATATGAGATTAGAACCCGGAACTAGGGTCAATGTTAGTCAATATTAATAATTTTGGGTAGTGAAATGTCCTATCAAGGTATAATTACAGGCAATCTGAGAGTTCCAAAATGATGTGCAAGAAGGAACTCGATCATGGCTAAATATATATATTGAATATTATTCAGATCAAAAATATATGTATATACACTTTATATGATCTGCCGTAAATATTTCGAGGTGTTGCAAACGGAATGACAAATTTGATATACCCTGTATCTTATGATGGAGCCTATGATTCGGCTCAATTGTATGTATATGAACACTTTAAAAAATTCTGTTCAACAAATCCAAAGGAAATAATTAAACATACAGTATTTCGGTTATTTATGGCGTATACGTTGTAACAGAACTTATACGCACCATGGTAAACAAGCTCAAACAGTATTTAGGTTAATGCGTATACCTTGTTACAGAACTTATACGCACCATGGTAAACAAGCTCATACCGTAGGCTTTAAATTAAAATCATATTTTCTCTATGATTACTGCACTTTGATTATCTGATAAGGTCTTTAGATTTTTTCATATGGAACCTCTCTATCCTACAAATTTCTCCCAATAGGGTCTGCGGTAAATATTTTGAGGTGCTGCAAACGGAATGTAGCCTGTATCTTATGATAAGGCTTATGGTGCGGTTCAATTGGATATGTATGAACACTTTAAAAGATTCTGTTCCAAAAATCCACAGGAAATAAATAAATAAACAGTATTTAGGTTATTTATGGCGTATACGTTGTGACAGAACTTAAGCGCACCATGTTAAGCCAGCTTATCCCATATACACAAGGTCACCTGGATTTCTCCTAATCAAGCAACGAGAAATCAAATTGATCGTGTTGTAATAGACGGAAGGCATTCATCTAGTGTATTAGACGTTTTGTCGATCCGAGGAGCGAATATCGATTAGGACCACTACCTTGTAGCAACCAAAGATGGCACTCGTCTTAATGTTGCAGCAAAGATGCGATCTAACACAACACGGAAACTCGACGTGAAAATCTGCAAACACAACAGGTAGTCGAAGCCTACTCCGCCTAACTTACCCACCTGCTTGACGAAAGCACTTCTTCCCGATATTAGTATAGAAGCACAATGGCAAAGAATTGCCCACTCCCTACAAACTGCAGCAAAAGCAACACGTGGATGCCAAAAACCACCATCAAGAAATCCGTGGTACGATCAGGAGTGTCGTAATGCTACTGATCTGAAAAAACGCAGCGTATAGGGCAACACTGCAGACAGTAGCAACTCGTAATGTGATGGAGAATTATCGGGAGAAAAGGAGAGAAGTGAAACGTGAGCGTGAGCATGTACAGTAGTCAGAATGAAGTCCGGAAATTTTACCAACGAGTAAAACACTAAACCAAAGGTTTTGATGCAGGCACATCCTCCTGTAAAGATGAAGAAGGAAACCTGGTGACAGATACATACAGCGTGCTGAGGATCTGGAAGGAGCATTTTGAAAAGCTTCTGGTAACAAATTGTGGCGGTGAAGAAGAAGATACCCCAGAACCAATAAGAGATGATGGTATAGAGTGTACACCACCTAGCCAAGATGTGGTCAGAAAATCAATTACTCGACTCAAGAACAATAAAGCAGCAGAATCCGACGGGTTTACCAGCCGAACTATTCAATACTGGTGGTCAGATGCTGGTCAGGATCATGCACCAGCTGATTAGTCCAATTTTTCTAGAGGAATACATGCCCAATGATTGGAACATCAGCATTCTGTGTCTCGTGCACAAAAAAAGGAGACAAGACGATATGTGCCAACTATTGCGGCTTCAGACCTGACAAATCCATCATTGACCACATTTTCACTCTGCGTCAAATTCGGGAAATAAACCCACGAAAAATAAATCGACACATACCGCCGCATTCAACAGCCCCTACCCGTTCAGAGGTGTTTAAAGCCATATGTGCGTTTGGAATTCCTGCAAAATTAATATGGCTGTGCAGGATAACTTTAAGTGGCACAAGGTCCGGGACCTATCGGAGCCCTTCAAAACCGAACAAGTTGACAGTTTGTCGTGTAATCTTTTTAACATCCTGCTGGAAAAGGTCGTACGAGACGCAAAGATGAACAGAAATGGCACTCTGTACACCAAACAACATATGTTACTCGCCTACGCCACCGATGACATCGATATAATGGGTCGAACATTGCGAGCGGTAACAGCCACCTTTGAACAAATTGAGAAGGAGTCTGCCAAAGTGGGTTTGGCAGTAAACGGCGAGAAGACCAAGCTGATGGTATCAACACGCAAGACATCCAGTAGACACGGACCAACTGTGGTACTTGAGAACTACAGATTCGAGGTAGTTAAAGATTTTATATACCTTGGTACCTACAGGTATATGTGAAGATATTCACATATATTTATATGCATAGAAAAAATGTGGACTTTTTATAGGCTAGGAAAATCTTATCGAGTTTATAAGGAAACCGATAAGGGCTGGTATATTTCAGGAAGAAGATAAGAGTAAAATTTCAAGTTCGGGAAAGATATTTTTATAAAATTTAATATTCGCATTACAAATATTACATAAAATTATTAATTAAAAAAATTATATGTTTATACAATTAGAAGTGTTATTAATTATTAAAATAAATAAAAACCAAAAAATGTTTATACAGATATTATTTAATATGTATATATTTTTTATTTATATGTTTTAAATGCTTTGCTTATATTTGCTCAGAATAAATTAATAAAATTACAATAATCAATTTATATTTACTTTCAAACTTAACTAATTTGGCTTAAATATATTAAGAAAATATTTTTTTTTAATTAATTTAAATTTTTTTTTTAAATTTTTATTTTTAATTAATTTAAATTTTAGCTATAAGCGTTTTTATTTTCATTTCGAATTAATTGGAATATTTTCTTAGCTAAATTTTTATTTAAAAGGGTGTAACTTATTTAATATATATATATATATATATATATATATTTTTTTATTTTTATATTCAAAATGTTCATAATTTTCAAAATTACTTTCATATAATTTTATAGTTTGTTGAATTATTTTTTTTTAAATTTTTCTTTATAAAAGAGGATATATTTTATATAAATTTTAAAATATAAATTATATATTAAAATATATATTATATTTATATATTTTTTATTATAAATAAAAATGTTGAAATTATTTTTTTATAATTGAAATTATTTTAATTATAGTTAAAATTATCCTTTTTTAATATTTAATATTTTTTTATAAATGAGGATATTTTCTAGCTTTTTTAATGAGTGAAATATATTTATATATTTAATTTAAAAAAATGTAAATTATATTATTAAAATAATATATTAAAAAAAACTACAACAAAAAATGTAATATTTGAAATTTTTTGAAAATTTAAAAAAAAATCATTAAGAAATTAATGGACGGAGATAGAGATAATTTTGAAAATTTTTTGTTAATACCATTTTGTAATTTTTTTAATTTTTATATATTTTCGGTTCGTTGTCTATATTTTTTTCGGTTATGGATTTTAATGATAAAATATAGAAATCAATATTAACTAGGGAGATCAAAGATATAGGCAGCACCCAGTTAAACTAACCTAGGACCACAGTTTTTATAAATAAAGGACTAGATTACACCAACTTGGATGACCATAAAAAATTATGAGATTTCGAAAAAATGTATCCTTAGCTAATAAATCTTATAACTAAACAATATATTTATTTATATATATAATAATTATTAAAAATATAAAATTGTTTTTGCGATTTAAAGCTTAGATAATTTCAAATGACTGTGACAGAGAGAGAGAGCGACAGAATAAAAACAAAGGATATTCTCTTGCTTCCTTCTAGCTAGACATTCAGTCCACCATCCATCCTCCTCTTGAATTACTTATTACGTTTCAATGTATTTGCCTCACAATCCTTGGGATCGATATCATCCTCCTCGGCAGTTGGTGGTAAAAGTTTTTTCAACTCTGCCTCAGCTTCGGCCACAGTGGCGCTGAGTCCTAGAAAAAAGAAAAAACACACACACACGAACACACAACATTAAATATTTTGTCACATTAGAAATAATTTTTATCACCTCCCTCCCTCACATCACTCCCTCCCTTCCTCACCCCCCCCCCCCTCCCTCAAACCCCTCCCTTGCTAAACGTACTTCTATCCGTTTTTTGTTTTTCACCACCATCATCACCGCCACTCTGCTCCGCCGTCGCATTCGGTGACCTATCTTTACGTGTCCGTCCTGCCACATGGTCATTTTTCGCCTGTTCACACAGACGGAATGCTTCCAAGAATTCATTGAGATCAACGAGTCCGTCTTTGTTCAAATCCATCATTCGGCACATGTCCAACAATTGTTCACGGGTATTTGTGCCAGGTAAATGTTGTTCCAATAAATCACAGGCATCACTGAATTCACTTAGGGATATGTAACCTGAAAAAATGATAAGAAAACCATTACAATAACAGCAAAAGAAAATAAATAAATCAATTGAAAACAAATGTGGGGGTACCATGGGGCGTACAAGTGGTGACACAATGTATACGCCCCAAACTACAGAAATATTTTTTATTTGTGGACTTAGCAAATCTATTTTGAAGTTCGTTAAAATTTCTTTCCCACATACCCGACTGATCCGAATCCAAAATATGGAATATTGCCTCCAAGCTACTAACGTTTTTATATAGGGAATCCGCTACGCTGGTTTCTTGTGCTTGAGCTTCAATCTGAAATAGGGAACAAATGAAATTAATATCACATGGATACATTATCCACTACTCGTAGATAATTATCTACGTCTTCTACATGCTATTTATACTTTATCTACGACCCGTATAGATACATACGCTATAGATACATTATCTACGTCTTACATATGCTATAGATAACGTATCTATTCCTTGTAAGTACTGTAGATAAATTACCTACGTTATAGATCCTGCAGATCCATTTATCCATGTATTATAGGTGATACAGATACATTATCTACGTCTTGTAGATGCTATAGATAACTTATCTATTATTTGTAGGTGCTGTAGATAAATTATCTACGCCTTGTAGATGCTAGAGATAACATATATATTCTTTGTAGGTGCTGTAGATATATTATCTACGGTTTTTAGGCGCTGCAGATAAATTGTATAGGCCTTGTAGGTGCTGCAGATAAATTATCGGCGGCTTAGAGTGCCGTAGATATATTATCTACGCCTTTTAGGTGCTGCAAATAAATTATCTGCAGAATAGATTGCCGTAGATAAATTATCTACGCCTTGTAGGTGCCGTAGATAAATTATCTACGCATTGTATGTGCCGTAGATAAATTATCTACGCCTTGTATGTGCCGTAGATAAATAATCTACGCCTTGTAAGTGCTGAAGATAAATAAATTATCTACGGCTTGTAGGTGTAGTAAATACATGGTCTGCGCCTTGTATGTGCCGTAGATAAATAGTCTACGCCTTGAAGGTGCTGTGGATAAATTATCTAAGCCTTGTAGATGATGTAGATATATTACCTACACCTTGTAGGTACTGTAGTTAAATGTTCTACGCCTTATAGGTGTTGTAGATAAATTATCTGCGCCTAGTAGGTGCCTCCGATAATTTTTATATATTATCTGCGTCTTTGTAGATAGCGTAAAACATTATTTACGCCTCGCAGATAAAGTATAAACATTATCTACGTAAATGCTTTACATACGCCTCGTAGATAACGTAAATACTTTATCTGCGCCTCGTAGATAACGTAAAGACATTATCTTCGCCTCGTAGATAACGTAAAGATATTATCTACGTCTCGTAGATAAGATACATATATTATCTACGCCTCGTAGATAAGGTTCAGATATTATGTACGTCTCGTAGATAAGATACAGATATTATCTACGCCTCGTAGATAAGGTTCAGATATTATCTACGTCTCGTAGATAAGATACAGACATTATATACGCCTCGTAGATAAGATACAGACATTATCTATGCCTCGTAGATAAGGTACAGACATTATCTACGCCTCGTAGATAACGTAAAGACATTATCTACGCCTCGTAGATAAAGTACAGACATTATCTACGCCTCGTAGATAACGTAAATACTTTATCTACGCCTCGTAGATAACGTAAAGACATTATCTACGCCTCGTAGATAACGTAAAGACATTATCTACGCCTCGTAGATAACGTAAAGACATTATCTACGCCTCGTAGATAAGATACAGATATTATCTCCGCCACGTAGATAAGGTTCAGATATTATCTACGTCTCGTAGATAAGATACAGACATTATCTACGCCTCGTAGATAAGATACAGACATTATCTACGCCTTGTAGATAAGATATAGACATTATCTACGCCTCGTAGATAAGGTACATACATTATCTACGCCTTGTAGATAAGGTAAATACTTTATCTACGCCTCGTAGATAACGTAAAGACATTATCTACGCCACGTAGATAACGTCCCTTATATACACCTACATTATATACACCATCTACGCCTTGTAGATAACGTCTATGCATAATCTACGGCTCGTAGATAACGTCCGTACATTATCTACGCCTTGTAGATAACGTCTACTCATTATCTACGCCTCGTAGATAACGTCTACACATTATATTTTTTTTTTTTTTTATTATCTTTATTTCAAATAATTAGAAATTCATTACATTTTTCGAAATTTCGAAAATATACGCCCGTAGATAACGTCTACACATTATAGGTAACGTCTACACATTATCTACGCTTAGTAGATAACGTCTACAAATTATCTACGTCTTGTTGATAACGTCTATACATTATCTACGTCTTGTAGATAACGTCTATACATTATCTACGCCTCGTAGATAATGTGTAAACATTATATGTAACGTCTACAAATTATCTACGTCTTGTAAATAACGTCTATACATTATCTACGTCTTGTAGATAACGTCTATACATTATCTACGCCTTGTAGATAATGTCTAAACATTATCTACGCCTAGTAGATAACGTCTATAAATTATCTACGCTTCATAGGTAATGTGTAGGCATTATCTACAAATCATATATAACGTCTAGATATTATCTACGCCTCGTTTTTTAATAATTAATTCTAGATAATTTTTTTTAGATAATTAGATAATTTGTAGATAATCAAATTTTGTACTCACAATAGTATCCGTATCTAATAAATCTAACGTTGTCAAATAGTTAACTTCATTTGTGGATCGCTCATCGGTCGATGGGGCCAACCGTGGCCTTAGCAAACGCCAGGGCAGACCCAAATTGGTGGCCTTCTCCATGGCATCACACCAATGTGAAACGGAAATGTAGCCTAGAAGGAAATAATTAGAATAATTAGAAGGAAATAATTAAAAATTATCATACTTAAATAGCTACCCTTTACCTCTATTATTGGGATCATTCTTCCGGAACTCCTCTTCCAATTCATTACGTTTGGCCCTCAGCCTTGCCCCCAACTCTCTGATGGCAGAACTCTCCACAATGCCAACGCGTTGACGGAATGTTAATTGACGTGTTTTCGAGGCCGCCGATATATACTGTACAAAATGGGGTTCCAAATGGGGATTCAACTTCATATAGGCTCCTCGATTCGAACCGATGGCATAGTAGTTCGAAGCGGAAAATATAGTTACCACCTTATCGTCATGCAGAAATTCATAGCCATCGACTTTGCATTCATGCGAACGTACCAGCAACTCAAGTTTGTGTTGCTCCAAAAAGTTGCGGGTAACATCCGGGCCGAAATAGGTACCAGCACCCCGCAGACTATTGGGTAGGCAACCATCATTGTGTTGCGGATCACTCCACATTATATCGAAGAGCTATAAAGAAATAACATTAAGGAGGAGGACATTAAAATCGGAATGATTATTTTTTTTTATAATAGCAGAAGGGGTGGGGGAGCACGAGTTGCTCCTTTAATTAAGAGAGTGGGGAGCCAAGAAGAGAACCACCCCCCATAATTAGTTTCTGATAGCCTCCAGAATAATTGCCAAACATTTTTATGGGCCCATCAAGGCCACAAAAAAAAATGTATTGGCTGTGAAGCACACACCACTCATTACCAGCATCAATGTTAGGAACAATATTCCTAGCCCTTTTATGCTCCCTTCTCCTTATCTCCTCCACATCCTCAGGGTGCCTGGAGTGTCAGGATTTTTTTCTTTTGAAAAGCTGTTAAATTTTTATTTTCGCCCCATAAAAGAAAATAAACAAGCTATTTGCCTTCACTTTATATTGTTTTTAGTTCGAGGCAGTACCACTCCCATCCATCCACCACCTCTCTTCTCTTCACCACCCCCATCCGATTCCCTCCCCCACTTAGTCAAGGGGAGTACAGAAATCTTAAAAAGCCATTTGCTTGTTTACATCTTTTATTCTCGTTTCGAACAAAAATCTATAAAAAATCATAACTTTATGGTATCTGTACGCACACACACACCCACACAAAGCCACATGCATCCCCAGCAACACAGATAATCGCTGCGGAACATGAAAGGTCTTCACTGCGTCTACGTGATTTAATTTCCTTGTAATTTATTCATGTCACTCATACGACGTGTGAGGCTGACGGGGTGCCACCATCACCAATGTTGATGATGGTGTTTGTTTTTTTTTATAGGGCTCGCGGTCCTGTGGCCTCAGGACATAAGCGAGAAAGAAAGCGTGAGGGTGGGATGGGAAGACTATAAAGGACACCAATAGGGTGCAACTGCTCGGCTGGTCGGCTGTATTGGAAGCTGTGAGAGACAGCAATTACAATTTAATTACTTTTCAATAGGCTAACTCGGCAGAGGTGGGCAAACATGAGCAGGGATGGGCAATGGGAATAAGGCGTGGATTTTTAAAAAATATTTTTTTGAAAAAATATTTTTAAAAAAAAAATATTTTTAAAAAAAAAATATTTTTTTGAAAAAATATTTTTTTAAAAACATATTTTTTTTTTTCAAGGACCGACATACTTAGCTGGCTTGTAACAGAACTTTCGTTCTATAAGCCGACCTTAGAAAACATTTCCAGGCGCGTTGGTCTTTTGCGCAGTTTTTCCCATTTGAAAGACTATTTTCGGCAATGTTCGATCCTTTATCGTATTCGTGGACCTCCCCTTCTGCGTGAACCATCAGTTGGTTCGCTTTTATATGCCTTCTGGGCTGGGTCATCTTCATCCATTCTCACAACATAACATAGCCAACGTAATCGCTGCAACTC